CTTTTTTGGTACCGGAGATTGAACTCGGGTCCTTGTGCTTGCAAGGCAGGCAGCAGAAACACTGAGCTAAATCCTTGGCAATATGTATTCATTATAAACATTAAGAGTAGCGATCCCATACATTGAGTAGTCATTTTTAGCTCCATTAAATAAGACACAGCAAGGGGAAACAAATATCCTGAAAAATGGCTTTCAAGTTCAAGTTGAACTATATTATAATTACAATGTGGCACAGAGGCAGCTTGTGGGCACTTCTTGTTAAAACAGCACAATGTCATCAACTTCTGAGGAGATTCTTTGTATAGCTTTGAGCACCAACCTAAGATTAATCAGTCAAGAATCTCAATTATTTCCCTACACCTATAGCTGAGTTTTTCCAGAATAACAAAAGTATGATAAGTACAACCTATCACAGCTTCTTTCTCACTTCCATCGAGTGGGTAAGAGGTTTCTCTTTTTAGAACTACAATTTCTTAACTTTTAAAAGTTATTTGACATTTTCTATCATATTAAATTAGCAACATAAAACATTATCCTTTATCTATAAAGTTCTATCCCAGTTCCCTAGAGCTTATATACATGTTTTTATTTCTAATCACAAGAAAAAAATTTCTATATTTGGTAACATCATGAAAAGATACTATACACATGTAGCATATATATAGACAAAATACACTTCAAAAAGAAGCCAACACACTTTAGCCAAAGTCTAATCTTGCATAGATTAAAAAAAAAGAACTATGAATACAATTTTTGTTAAAATAGAAAATGGGAAGTAAAAGTTACAGAATGGATATGAAGAGTTCTTTTTCCAAACTTTTATTTGTGCACATTCAATTGAAAAGATAACTTTTACAGGTTCTTTGGTGCCCATATTCATCATACAAAAATGTAAAAGACTATTCACAAATTAAACACATTAGCTCAAACTGGAAAAAATAACAATGTTAACAACGAAACAATTTAAGGTAGTGCACACTGTGACAGCTCTGCTTATGGGGACATGAGAATTACTGCGAAAATAAATAGAACGTCCTCGTGTAAAAGCAGCAATGTCATGTCTTGTAAACTTCCTTTTTATATTACAGCAAAGATTGAAATAAAATCCAAAGGGACTGGAGCTTACACTGTATCCATGAGTGAATAAAAGAGTCTGTTTCCTCAATTACTGTGTCCAGTTACTTCCTTTTTATATTACAGCAAAGATTGAAATAAAATCCAAAGGGACTGGAGCTTACACTGTATCCATGAGTGAATAAAAGAGTCTGTTTCCTCAATTACTGTTGGTCCAGTTTTCCTTCTGAGTCCAATGTGCAGCAGGTTTTAAAAGGTGCTCAGTTAGAGATTCTAACCAATTTAAGCAATGAGTTATAAAATTTCTTTCCTGCTTTCAAACACAAATGGGTATATTTGTTCCACAGCAGTAGCCACAGCCTTTACATTGGGCCCTGTAACGAACAAAGGAAGGGGTGAGAAGGGCTGAGAAGGGGAGCACTTTCCCAGAGTTAAAAACATTCACCTGGCTTAGAATACCAAGTTGACTGGATACAAAGAAAAGAAAAAAACTAAAAACTACATGCATATAAGCATACATATAATCATAATAAGAACCAAGAAAACACGCCTTTTTTCTAGATAATCAATCTGAAACACAAAATACTGCTCACTGTTTTAAGGCACAGTGTAGAGTATTAACAAATGACACCATCATGAAGAGGAATAAAAAGTAATAGAGTATGCGCAGGGAAGAGTAACACATGGGACTAGTCACCTGTTACCTGCTTGCTCACTGTTGTCTGGCTTTTGGCTAGACTATAACTACAGCTCGCAGGAGTGCACAGAAAACCAGCAGAGTGTAACAATGCGACACAAAAATTTTGGGTATATTATACTCTATGGTGTAAAATACCCTGCAGAGCATTTATTACTAATCAGGTCATTTTACCAGCAGAGATTACCTAGATCAGTGAGTAGGGAAGAGCACGAAGTAATGCTACCAATGAATACATCCATATAAATCTGGAACAACTGTTTAAAAATATCATCTGTGTGTCATTGCAGAAAGGGAAAAATGCCTCTCCACCTTGGTTCACTCCGTGACCCATTTCTCCTGAAAACAGCAACTTCAACTTCTAAAGACAGCCCCATCTACTCAAGGCTACTTCTCAAACAGCAATGACACCGAGGTCAGAGGAGGGCAGACTACTGCCTGACTTCTTCTACCCTAATCCCATGTGCCCACTAAAAGCTTTAGAGCAACTCTTAGCCACCTAATATGTCTATTTAGAGGCACGCCTGTCATGCTTGATTTCTACTTTGGGAATCTAGGTGGCAAACTTGCTAGAATTTCAGTGAATAAATCAGGAATTGAATTTTATCAATGCATGTAAACTTGGTTTGCAACAGGAAATAAATGTAAATAAATATAATCTTCACTTTATAGCTAAAAAGAAAGCAATGAAAAGTATTTTCATAAAATTGGGAATAGAATAACTTCACTTATACTTGCCACCCCCTTTTTTCAGTACTAGGAATGGAACACAGGGGAGCCTCACACTGATAGCCACATCCCTATCCCTATTTATTTATTTTTATTTTGAGACAGGGTCTTGCTTGGTTGTCCAGGCTGGTCTTGAACTTGCAATCTCCTTGTTTCTCAGTCTATTTAGGTAGCCACTCTTGCCTCTTTTGAAATCATGAGAATTTATGTATCTACCATTGTGTGCTTTGAAGATACTGGACACAGCCTACTTGGTTTGCTTTTTACTTACTCACCTTATCCTCTCCACATAGTATAGTGCTTTGTTCACGGGAACCACTTAATACGTGTTCACTGAATTAACATTTCATAGGACATTCCAGGTATATCATATATATGAATAGATATAAAAAATTGAAAGAAGAGAACAAACAACTTATTTTCCACAACCCTTTCAAAAATTATTTTATCAGTGTATGTTTGTAGTACATAATGTTCACATTCCTCAGGGAGATAGTACATGTACACAGCACATCGTAATTTCTTTCTTCATGCCCTTTCCCTTCCCTCCCTCTTTTCTCCATCCATCTCTTGATGCACTAACCGACTCCTGTTTTTGTACATGTTTTCTAACATTCAGATGGTATCCTAGCAATTGGATTTGAAAGTTCCCAAGGAAGACAGAAAAAATGTGGGTAAAAAGTAAAAACTAAGCTTATTGGTTAGGAGTCTCAAGGTGTGTCAATTTTTATTCTATGTTAAAAACTGAGGGAACAGGGCTGGGGATTTAGCTCAATGGCACCATGTCCATCTCACAAGCTCAAGGTCCTGAGTTTGATTCCCAGCACTCGGGGTGGGGGTGGGGGGGAAGAACCAAGGGAATAAAAAAGCAAAAATTCAAGGCCACTAAAGAAATTTTCTTCAACACAATTTTGCCTAAGGTTGGAACTGACTCTCAAGCAGTGCTTGTGTACAATTTATAACCATAGTATTTTTTAAAATCCTACACACTGATGCCACCCTTTAATATGCTAACCTAGTCTTCTAAATATTTAACAGTTCAAAAAAATGTAACAAAACACACATAATAGGTGCCAATAATATCTGAACATCTTAAGGAAAAATCTTTGCAGAGTTAATAAAATTGGTTTCTCTTGGGTATTTTAAATGCAAGATATGGCAACTTTTTATAATCATTACTAAGGAGACTAAGTAAAAAAAATTTTTCTTTTTGCAGCATTAAACGAACTCAGGGCCTTTGCAATGAGCTACATTCCCAACCCCTTTATTTTTAATTGTGAGACAGGGCCTCACTAAGTTGCTAAGTTGCCCAAGCTGGGCTTGAACTTAGAATCCTCCTGTCTTAGCCTACCAGAGTACAGTACCCAAGATTACTGGCATGCACAACCAGGCCTGGATACATTAGAATATTTTTAATAGCTCCAAACAGAAAATTACTCAAATGCCTATGAAGTTCATTCACACTGAACACTATATAGCAATGAGAGTGAATGATCTATACACAAGAATATGGATGCATCTTACAAGATAACCAATAATGAAAGAAGACAGAGACAAAATAGCACATTATATATAAGAAACACAAACAGCACATAAGCAGGTAAAACTAATCTACAGTGCAAAAAGTCAAAGGACTTACTCTTCTTTAAGGGCATAAATAACTGAAGGGGACAATGTAGACATTATTTCTTTTCTTTTCTTTCTTTCTTTTTGGTACCAGGGATAGAACTCAGGGCCTTGCACTTGTGAGCCAAGTGGTGACACCACTGAGCTAAATCCCCGGCTGTAGACATTATTTCTATCTGTACGGGCATGTCTATCATTAAACCCATAACTGACATGTTTGGTTTCAGTATCATACATTACCTGTTACTGTGATACTTCCTGTTGAAAAAATCTGTAATGTAGCTCTTAGAGATTTTATCCGATAGCACACAGCAGGATGAAGTTCAGGTTCATAACTATATTAAAAGGACACAATTAATAGATTAACAGCCTGACTAGTAATTTCAAATTTGGTAAGTCATCTTGATTCTTAAAAACCTACCTGGCATGAGGTCTATTGTTCTTTGTGAATTCTGGCAAACGGATCTCAAAGGGCATATTACAAACTGCCAAAACGTTAACAACCTTAAAATCTGTAAATATTACCTTTAGGAGAGAAATAAAACTTAATGAATTATTTCAAAATAAAAAATTTGCTTATTATGGCAATCCTTAAGTTTCAATTCTTTAAACAGGACTAAACAAGATAAAACAATTTCTTATGCATGGATCTAGTTATGTAGGTTTAGTATGAAAAGCTAAAATTCAATGAAAAAAAAAAAGCTGAAAAACTTCATTAAAAACAATAAAACAAGGGGGTTTCATGATGAAAAATGTACTCGTCATCTGGGTTTTTGAGTCTTATGCATAGTTTAATATTTTTAGTGGGGTATATAAAAATTACCAAGAATTGAGAGGGTAAAAAAATCAAAACAGGGTTCTCCTAGAAAAGTCAAACAGGAAAAATTGTCGCTCTAAAAAGTCAGTTAAACAGTGTATATTGGGCTCCAAAGGTTAAATGTTTTCTTATACTCAGGAAGGTGAAGTGAGTTTAGTTGATGCTTATTTTCCTTTCAGGGTATGTGTGAAGTGATCATACTATATTTTTAACTAATTGGGCTTTTTCTTTTTTGGGGTAACACCTCTGCTGTTAAGAAGTTCCAAGGCTCAAAATAATGTTCTTTTAACAATAATAACTTCAGCCATTCCAACCATTATCTTGAAGTATTTTATCTTCTCATCTTTTCCAACATTCCTCCTAAAACCAGAATTCTGGATGAGCTGTCTTCCAACTTAGTACTTGCACAAAGCAGCAGAAGGCCAAACAGTACCGCACACATCACATCACAGCTACGTCACCAGGCTCTCTCTCTTCCCACTCTCCTCAAGTGCCAAAAACAGCAAGTTCAGTTCCTTCTACTTCCAAGACTGAAGTCAACTGACACGAACTTAACTTCTCATCACTATTCCCAGTTTATCCAAATCCCAAAAAGCCCGGCCTAACTCTTCAAGGACCAAATTTCATCTTTCACTTTCACTTCAATTTGCAAGTGACCTAGCCAAGTCCATCCTAATAATTTATTATAAGCTTTGCTGAACAAAATATCTGAAGACTGAATTGTCAGTGACGGTCACTTTCCACATGTAAAAACTTGCCACTCAGTGTGTTTAAATCTCATCTTTCATGGACCAAATCTTATCTTTCTCTTTCATTCAACATTGCAAGTGAATTAGCAAATCCATAACAGTATCAAAGTTGTGCTGAACAACATTTGAAAAGGCTGACTTGCCCGTAACAGTCACTGTACACATGTGATAGCTTGCTGCTCAGTGCGTCCATGTCAACAGTGCTCATCACACTCAACATTCTGACCTGGCATTTTTGAAATAATAAGCAACTGTTTTTTGGGAGGTGGAATCTTAAGAAGTTGAAAAGGCATTTACTGTGAAAAGAAATAAGCTTATTTATGGGAGAGAAATTTGAGAAAAAGCCAAGATCTTTTATAAATACCATATGGCCAAGTTTTGCTATTGAATTTTCACACTGTAAAGCCAGAAACTCCAGAAGAAGTTCATCAGAAGAACTCCTACAGTGGTTTCTTTACTCTATTAAATTAAATTTTTTAATTTTACAAAAATAAATCCTTGAGTATTTGTAGTTCAGATTCTGAAAATGTTACCTGAAAACCTAGTTTCTGCAGACTGCGGGCTAAACGTCTGGCACCGAATTTAGCTTCTTCTTCACTATGTTTTAAAGAAAGAAAAAGATTATCGGTTACAAAGGAAATAAACTTTATACTGAGAAATACAGCAAACATTACATATAACTTTAGTTTCAGTCTAAGAAATGTCTTTTCCATGGGGAGAAAAGGAAAAAAATAAAAATTAAAAACTCAGGTAACTTTACCTTGTTGCTCCAGTGCAAATAATTTTTCCTGAGGACCAAATTGTAGCTGTGATTCTAGGTTTTCTAAGCTTCATTAATACTTTCTGAGAAAAGAAAAATCTAATTAGTTAATAAATATTCATTTTCACATATGGTTTTCTTCTATGTAGCCATATTACTGTCTAAATAACACTCCAAGCCTATGTATGATTATCCATTCTGAAATAAAATTCAATATTCAATACAAACAACAAAATTAATCCCCAAAGACTTTTAATTAATTAAAAGACAAGGTCTATATAAATCTCTCAACAATGTGTTTGGTTCAATAAACTGTAAGTACATAAACATTTCAATTCTTATTCTACTCCAGCCACACCACTGGAATTTGCATGGATCCTGACACAGGCCAAACTTGTTCATGCATCAGAGCTTGGCAGTAGCTGCTATTCCCAGCTGGAGCAGTCTCCACGCAGTATTCTCACTTTATTGGGTCTCTTACCAGATGTCATCTCCACAGAGACTCCTTTCCTGACTACTTCATCAAAGTCTTCACCCCTTATCGCGCTAATTCCTAGCTCTGCTTTATTCTGCTTCAGGGCACCCATCACTACATCATATCATATTTAGAGCTGAGATGCCTATCATACACTCAAGTACATGGAAATCTCAACCGCAGGAGAAATGTTGGAGCTGGAGATGTAATTTCAAATTTCTTGGACATAAAAAGCATTTTAAAATATGGGTTGGAACAAAAGTACCTACAGAATAAATAGGATAAGTTTTATATAATTCCTAATCTAGGAACTTAAATTTTCACTGCACATTTTCATTTATGGAAATATTTATTACATGATCATTATATGTAAGAAAGATAAATGTTCATCAGATAAAATAACATGCAAATGACTTACGCTTTTCCTTAAAATTTATTACATTTTGAATTCTTCCTTTTCATTATTACACACCATATTATCAAAGTAAAACACTGTTAAATCTGGGGAGACTTAAAATTTGCAAAAGATCAAGATGATGTTTTAACTAAAATACATAAAACTTCACAGAGAAGTAACACCAGGCTGAATCTACACTGCATTAATTGTCTCCCATCACAAACTTGTCATGAAAACTCCAGAGTTTTCAGTCAACCTTCCTAAAAAAATCTACTTCTTTTCCACACACTAAAATCCAAAAGCAGTGTTTGGCATTTTCCTTTCTAAACTTTTTAGCAGACATGTGTGTTATTTTCTTCTTTTTAAAGGGAAAATGGTATTACTGATAAACTTGAAAATCTTTAACTGTGGATCAGTAAAAATTTTAACTGAATTTAATCCATTGTAACTTGGTTACTAGTACTATGAACTTATAACACTTTACCTAAGTATACAAAGGAACCTAATTTGTAAAGCTTAATACAACCTTTACATACAGTGCTAATGTTTGCAATAGATGTATAAAATACATATTTATTTCATCAATCTTTGGTGTGTAAAAACCTCACAAATGCTTTCATTTGTAATGTTAATCTCAAAACACTAAGGCTTTATTACTACTCATTACTACTAAGGCTCTTATTTTAAATGTTATACATTTGAGGTATGAACTATACTGTTTTTAGCAAATTGATGGAAGAAAACCATCTATCTTGGCTAAGTTATGAAGAATATGACAATTAACAAACTACAAAAATCATTTAAAATTAGGGCATCAGTTAAACATAATTATATCTGAATGAATACACATGAAAGTACAAAGATCCCTTTCCTTACTTCAAAACAATTGAGAAAACAATAACACGAACTCTTGATGAGTTAGTTCTTTGAGGACTCAGATAAGCTATCTCCTCCATATCTGTCACCTCCATGAGAGGAAGGACTATATATAGAGGACTTACTTCTGTATCTGTTACAATAAACTAAGGTACTCATAAAATGTCTGTAGGATGAATATATTTTAGTACCATTCATAAGATTAAGACTACATAGTGCATAGAACAAATTCAGTTACTTACTCCAACATCACGCTTATAAATGACATTTGCTCCCTCCAAAGCAATCTTCCTTAAGTTCAAATGGCATCTTGTTCTAAAAACACAGACTACATTTGTAATTAAAATGTCCAATGCAACATCACTGTCTGCATCCATTGGGGTAGTTTAAAAACTTGCTTCCCACCACGAAGTTCACATCCTGAGAAATAAAACACATACACACACACACAAAAAAAAAAATCATTAAGGTTCTGGCTGGGTTCAATCTCCATTCCAAAAAAAGTGAAAAACAAATACCACCCCCCCAGAAAAAACAAAGAGGTACAATGAACACGAGGGTATATGTACGTGTGTCAAAGTGTAAATGGGTGAATTTTACCCATATTATGCACCACGTCACATTTTTGTGTATTTATAATTTGTTTTATTAAAATGCTTTCCTTTGATTTTTCTTTAGCCTAATTCAGTATAATATTGCACAAAAAACTGCTTTTACAACTTTGGGAGGAGGATGAAGTAAGTCAATGGGTGACTTGGCTACCAACGATGATGTGGATCATGTGAGCCAAACAAGTTAGCAAGTATAGAATGAAGACGTTGATTTAGATGAGGAAGAAATGGTAACATAAACAAATACTTGACTGGTCAAAATGCTACAAAATGGTCATGCATACCTGAACAATCAATCCAATGTTAGAACTAGGTTGGAAAGTGTGATTAGGTCCTTGCCAGGGGTGAAACCTATTGGATGGAATGCCAACACTGCAAATTCAACATTGGAAATTGTGTATAATGGACAACATGCTACAGGTGTTTGGAAATATGTTAATAATGAAATACAAGTAAAATGTTTTACATGTATCAATAGTAATACTCAAAATCAAACTTATCATGACACCTCACTATCAAACTAAAAGCCTTCATAGCAGGACTTTATTATTCTAATCATCAGACTCTAAAGGATTTACGGAGAAGCGACAGGTAGGGGATGGAGATTTTTAGAATAATGACACTCAAGAGAGTTAGTTTCTTTCAAAATTGCTTATGTTTTGACAACAAAAAGACCTGTCAAGAAAGAAAGAAAAAAATCTGACAATTTGGCTGCTATTCACTCATTTTTTAAAAGTTTTGTTTTGAACTGTCAAGTAATTTATACACCATCCAAATATATAGCAACTGATGAACAACTTTCATCATTTCAGGTTTGTCAAAAGTTGAGGCAATATATGCCAAATAAAACTTCCCAATATGGTATAAAAATATGTGCCCCATTAGATGCGAAGGCATTTTACACCTTGAATTTAGAAATTTATCCTGGAACTCAGACAAGAGGTCTTTATTCCTGCAATAATAAACCATATAACACTGTGAACAGCGTAGATGTATCTGTTTCAAAAAGTAACCCAAATGTCACATTTGATAATTGGTTCACTTGTTATCCAATGATGTTACATTTGCCCAGAAACTATTCCTAAGAACAAAGCAGAGAGGTTCCTGAAAAAATACTGAATGTTCCAAGTTCACAATAGAGAAATGTATAGTACAATCTTTAGATTTCAGAAACATATAACATTGGCCCCCTGTATGGTGAAGAAAAGCAAAGTAGTACTGATACTGTGGACTTCACACCATGATGATAGGACTGATAGTGAAGATGGGCGTGGTGGAGCATGCCATGTAATTCCAGTATCGGGAGACTTAGGAGACTTAGGCAGGAGGATGTGAGTTCAAGGTTAGCCCATGCTACATAGTGAGTTCCAGGCTAGCCTGGAATACACAGCAAGACCCTGTCTCAAAACAAACAAACAAACAAACAAACAAAGATTGGTAGTGAATCCTCAACACAAATAAAGGCAGAAATGGTCACATTTTACAAGAAAATCAAAAGTAGAGTAGATGTTGATGAGTTATGCAGCAGCTATGATGTCACTTGAAACACAAAGCATTGGCCAATGGTGGTGTTTTATCTGATCCTAAACATGTCAGGCATAAATAGTTTCATAGTTTACAAAGAAAATAACAAGCACAAAATATCAGGGAGAAATGTTAAGAGGATTGAGACTGGAATTCAAAAATGATCAATTACAACAGAGGAAGAACAACATGTATTTGCCCAAAGAACTACTCAAAACAATTCTGGACCAGACTGGTGAAACATCAGAATAATTTCCTAAGAAAACAGGAAGACGAGCAAGATATTAAGTGTGTCCTACCAAAGAAGACAGGAAAACAAAACACATGTGCTGCCAGTGTAAGCGACACCTGTGTATGGAACACACTCTTCTGTGTGAAAATTACCTTAGGTGTGTGATGATTTAAGATTATTTGTTTTGGTTGTATTTATATTGTAATTCACATAGGAATTTATTTGTTTTTATTTTTTAGATGGTGTAACCAGATAAACACGTGATGTTGAAAATGCTGGTGTTTATTCTGAACACATTACATACTAAAATTTTAATAGTTTATTGATGTTTTATTTTCCTGTTAAGTGTGCATTGATCAATGAAACTCAAAATAATGTATCAATAGAAAAAAATAAACATGGCTTTATACACCCATCATAATGTGCCTTTCAAAAAACACCCGTTGGGACGCCCCCCGAGGTACATGCTCATGGCTCAACACTGTACCTGGAGGGGAGTAAATGTTCAATTATTATTTGGCAAGTGAATGCTATAAAAATCCAACATTTCAACCTCATATCGTTATGACACTTGTCATATACCCAGAAATCTAAACTGCTTCTTTTTATTCTAGGCATGGAAATATTTTTTTATAGCAAGCCTGAAACATTACTTCCAAAGCTTCCATTACTTTCATATGAATTGAAAGAGCTAAGAGACAGTTTCTTTCGTGTGAGCCCTGTGACACAATATCCATGAAGATGCTTATGTAGTAAGTAAACCTTATTATACTTTATGTGTTAAACTAATCTGTACAATAAAGAATGTGTTTAAGCAACTTCACAAAAAAACATAGTATTTAGAAATGACATTTAAACTTGGAAAGCTGTCAGATCTGCTAACTATAGAACTATGCATCGAATATTTAAGATACATAAAAGGGCAAAAGGAATATAATGAACATCTATTCAGCTTCAAGAATAAACATTACAACTGATATTTCCCCCATGCAGCTCTCCCATATCAAATCTGCATCCCTACCCTCCAATAAGCTCTACTATAATTTATCCTCACACGTTTCTCTTAAACTTACCCATATTATGTCCATAAACCCAACTAAGTGATGATTTTTAAAAAAAATATTGATGGATTTGGTTTGTTGATGCTTCATTTAGGATAGACTTATCTATGTTCATAAGCAGAAGTAGACCATATGATTTTTTCTGTACTGTCCAATCTGGTTTGAATATCAAGATTATACTAGACATATTAGACAATTCAGAGAGGTCCTCCACCCCCCCATTTCCCTTAAAGACCATTTAAAGATCTTGTTTAAAAGTTATGTGGATCTGTTTCTTAATAGATCTTTAAAAGACCAATTCAATTTTTTAAGACAACTAATGTCTACTATCTATCCTTGAAACAGTTTTTACGTATTTTCCTAAGAAATTTCCTATTTCTACTAATTTTTAAAATTTATCAGGCATATTATTCATGGTTTTCTTAATAATTTTTAAAACTCTGCTGCAGTATGATCCTTTTTCATTCTATTATCATTTGTCCCTGTTTTCTTGTTCCTCTCAATCTTGCTGAAAGGTTTTTCTACTTTGGTAAGTTACTTAAAAGAATAGTTGATGCTTTTGATTTATTAAATTATTTGCTCATGTTTACCATTTCTTTTCGTCTATAGATATATCCCCATTCTTTTATTATTTCTTATATTGGAAAGTATTTTGGTTGAATGTTTAGTACTTTAGTTTTTATCTTTTTTTCTTGTAAGAACATTTAAGGCTACTATAGCTCAAGGTTATTTTAAGTGTGACTAAAGCTGAATATATAATATTTTCATTACCACTTGATTCTAACAAAATTTAAATTTCTATTAACATTTTTGTTGGGTTTATTTATTTAGAAGTCCTTCGCTTTTAGAAATATACATTTTTAAAGCTTATCAGTAATTGAGGAGATGCTAACTTAAAAGAACGTAATACTATTTATTTATATCAGCAAATGACAAACACTGGTGGCAAAGGTATGAGTAAATCGGCATTCTCTTACAGTTTGGCACAAAAACGTCCTACAGAAGATAATCTGGCAGTGATTATTTAAGTAATTTAAATGACACATATACATACGTGGAATTTCAGTTAAGAGGCACACAAGTATCTTGAGAAATAACTGAACTGAATACAAATGTTGTTAATAGATAACCTACATGTCTACCTAAAAGGGACTGGTGAAAATATAGCATAATCTCATATAAAACACTACTAAATATGTTTTTATGAAGGGTAAAATTTCAGATTTAATGTATGTTTTAGACAATGTTGTCTTTTAGAATAAGAAAAATTATATAATTTTCACAAGTTCATTTTGGTTTATATATCTAGGTATGCACCTAAATACTTACACCCATCAAAATATTAACAAATATTCAGAGAATTGGCACATCAGAGTGACTTTGTCCCCCTTGTATTTTTTGGTGAAGTCTGGATTTTTAAAGTATTAAATATTTATTAGTTTTACTATAAGAAAAATTTCATTTTAAATGAAAATAACTTGCCCACTGTCCATGGTCTAAAATTAAGACATGGTGTGATGAAGTATTTTGTCCTATTTCTCAAGTAAATGCCTAGTAAGAGTATGATCTGTCAAATCCTTCCTTCTAATAAGCAAAGTTCAAAACTATAGCTGTCCTATTTTCAGGAAATGCCATTTCTAGCTTTCTACATAAATGCACCATAGAAGTTGAAATAGCCTCTCCTGTCTCTCCCTCGCTCAGTGGGTTTGTGGATAAGAATAATTATATTTTTGGTCCTCTAGTCAATGCCTGACTTTTTTTTTTTTGTTGTTGGTTTTTTGTTTTTTGGTACCAGGACTCAAACTCGGGTCCTTGCACTTGCAAGGTAGGCAGCAGAACCACTGAGCTAAATCCCTGGCCGGATGCTTTTGACTTTGTAGCTGTATTCAGAAACACAACTTCAGCAACTATGAGGAACTGCCACCTTAATCATCACCTGGAAAACATCGCCACCTTCTGGCTCTGAAGACAAACTTCACCATACTACCACGT